TAAGAAGAATTGTTTCAAATTAAATTATTAGTATTAAAATCATTTGATAAAACACTAAAATATGGAGATTTGTCGTCGGTAACCAGGTGGTAGGATTTGTAGTTAACGCCAACTTTTATTAAATAAACCAATGGTAAAACGCGTCGACAAAATTGATTTACAAATCCAACGCCCCGATTAAATATTAGCGTTATCTATGGGAAATAAATATATCATGGCCATCAAAGTTCGTAAATTCTGCAAATAAGATAAAATTTGTTGCGCAAATAGTTTTTCAACCATTATTTTAATAAAAATTTAAGTTTTAACTAAATTAATGATAAATTTATATAATAATAAGAATAATTCGTGTTATCAAATAAAAAAATGATGAATTAATTAATCCTCAAAATTTAAAGAAAAATGCATTGAAAGTTTTATAGGTAGGTATCCTGGTTTCATTTTTTTAAAGAGGACATTTTGTAATAAAAAAACATAATGTAAAATCAATATTAAATTTAACAGGATTTTCCCGAAAACTTTCCTAATACATTAGAAATCTTTCGTGAAAGTTTTTCCTTTTATCCCACGCTCCTGATTCCACGTCCTGCTCGATAATAATTATGATTTTGTGTCAAGTGATACGAGTATCCCTTCGGGATTACCACCGAAACTCAGTCTGAATTTTCTCTGTATATATCTCCTCTCTTTATTGGATTTATTGTAACATGATTCCCAATCCACAAAAAGGATTGAGTGATATAAATCTTTGACACAACTGGAAAAATCTTTTATACGAAAATAAATTATTTTGATTACTAATTGTATTAAATTTTAATTCATAATAATACATTATAGACCAGGCGGAGAAAGCACATAATTTTTCCAACCATACATTTTACTGCAGTAGATTGTGTGCGAGGCAATTAATAAACTTTCGCCGCCGTCTTTTATATACCTTTTTTTTCAAACATTTAATAAAATAATTTTTAGGATTCTGTCACATCATTTTTGGTAAGTTGAACTGACATGATGACATTTAAGCTTTATTTCTGTACGGAGTTTAATAATAATTTGATTTTTGAACTATAATAATAATAATAATAATTATTATTATTATTAGTATTAATATGAAGTCTTTCTAAATAGACTTATGAGTCATATAATATAAAAATGTTGTAGGTATCTATACATATTGGTATTTTTTATTTAAAGAGTTACAAGGTTACAGCGGTTATTTCAGAGAAAAGTTGCCTATTAAAAAAAACCCAGTGGTTCTCAAAATATTTGATAAAAACTAAAATCCTGTCAAGACCAAAAATCGTTATTAAAAATTAAATTAAAAAAAAGTTTGTTTTACATGTAAAAAATGTGTATACTCGTACAATAATTGTTATACAAATTATTTGATTTTGGGTTACCACCACCCTGTTTTTCCTATGGCCGCCATACATGGTTAGGCAAATATCAAGGAAAATTTATAACAGTTTTTGGTTTTGAAAGGTTTTCAGTCTTTTTCAAATTATTTAAGAACCGCAGTATTTTTTCAATTTTCAAATGTCATTTTAATAGACTTGTAATTATGCAACTTTCCTCTAAATTAACCGATCTTGTAGCTCTTTAAATAAAAAAGACCACACAGAAATATCATGTCATGAAAAGCATATGAAATTATATTAATTTAACTAATCGGGTAAATTTGATTGAAATAGAAAAATTTGTAGTTTTATATTCATGAACCAACAGTTTTACAATGTTTTTAAACAGTTTTAAAGTGTAGGTACCCTCTTTAAAATATATATAATATATATAATATAATTTGATTGAAATAGAAAAATTTGTAGTTTTATATTCATGAACCAACATGTTAACAGTTTTACAATGTTTTTAAACAGTTTTAAAGTGTAGGTACCCTCTTTAAAATATATATACAAAAAAATATATTTATTTCATTAATTTAATGGGACAGACCAATGACGTCAAAACATATTTGAATCTCTTTAAATTATCATCGTTTTGAATGATTCTACAATATTTTCTCTCTCAGTGCATACATAAAAGTATACTTGGTGTATATTCTATAAAATTTCGGCACCATCGGCATAAAACATTAAGTTGAAATGAATTTATTTTATATTTTATATCAAATTTAGATTCTGGCAAATTTTCCCATAAAAGTAGGGAAGAAGTTTCTGAAGAAGTTATTGTAATATTTTAAAAGAGTCGCGGACTAGGCAACGGGATCATACATCGAGGACCGCGTGAGATATGGAACGAATCAATTAAATTGTGTCATATTTTATGTTTAAAATAGTTCCTCAGTGAGGGATCCTCACTTAATATTAAGTATAAAATATTCCAAAGAATCTAAGAAAAATATTACAATAACTTCTTCAGAAACTTCTTCCCTACTTTTATGGGAAAATTACCTATATTACATAATTAGAAACGCTTAAAAGCGTTACTATAGTTACTATAGTAACACGCGAGTCCACAATACTTCATTCAACTACCGCAAGGAATTTAATATATTTAATATTTTATATTTGATATATGACAACTGTTAAACAGTTTTAACCTCACTTTTTTTTAACTTAAAGCTATTTTTAGCCCGTTGGTAAAATGCTATCTCGCCCACGGGTTGAAGTTAAGAATGGGGAATTGTTGCTTCCACTATCAACAGGGACGCGAAATTACATATTCCTCTGAGTTTGCTATAGCAAACTCCACAATAATCGAGAAAACTCCTCTATTTCCCACTATACGATCTCGATCTCGTAACAACAGGTGTTGGAAAAGTAATATTAACAAAAGTGATTCACATTTTAGTACTTCAAATTATTGGTCATAGACTTGGAAGGTAAGACATGGAATTGAAAGTCTTGCTAAAGCTTGGTCAGAGACTTGAGAGCCAAGACTCGGTCTTGAAAGTCTGGCTAAAGCTTGGTCAGAGACTTCGAAGCCAAGACTCGGTTTTGAAAGCCTGGTCAGAGTCTTAAAAGTCTGGCTAAAGCTTGGTTAAAGACTTGGAAGCCAAGGATCGGTTTTTAAAGCTTGGCCGAGGCATGGGCCAATATATCTAATAAGATATGAGGACAGCCAATTTATAGCCAAGCTTGCCATGGCACTGTTGTCAGTATTGGTATTTTCTACATGGGGAATACAATTTTTTGTCTAAGTTCTACCTATAAATTTTAGGTAAAAAATGTTTCTTTGAGTGCAAGAACTAGGTAGATAATACTTAATATAAATTATTTGGATGGCAAAGAATAAGAACAGTAGGTACAAGTCCAAAGTTTAAAATCAAAATACATTTTGTGAAAAGATATAAATCATTTTACAGAATATGAACATATTTTATAAAAAATTCCGACAAAAATGCATTTATAAATAGAACTATAAAACTGATTTTTTTAAATATTTTGTCGAAATTTTAACTTTTGGACTGTATTTGAAGGAAAAGCAAAGGGACTTGATATACTATTAAGTATCGCTATTACCAATTACCAGATTAATTAATTAATTAGATATTATTAATTTAAATAAGTCATATATGAAGCATGCGTAGTGTAAAATATATTTTACACTATACTCTTTCACGAGTATATAAGAGGATATTTATAACTTAATTTCTAGCATTGTTGTCCTTTATCCTGACACTTTGCGGCATTTCCATAACGCACTTCTAATTGCTTTTTAATTTAATTACGTGGGTTTTTTTATATTTTGGGGGTGAAAATATGATAAACTCTTAAATTATTAGTCAGAAAGAGATTAAAGAGTCCAGTTTAATCCACAGGGAGCGTTTTAATTTAATTTTAGCGGTTTTACACGATATTTATGGTTAACATATTTTTTTAAATTTATCAAAATTTATTCAATTCAACGTTTAAGGAATGTCCCCCATAATTTTTTTAAGTTTTAGCTTAAAATATAGAAATACAATTGAATTAAATTTTAAAAAAGGTTGTGAATAAACAGGGTAAAAATCAAATGTTATAGGTATAGGTACGATTTTAAATTTTTTAAGTTTTATTACAAAATTTTGTGTTAATTTAGCGTTTTTCTATTAAATTAGGCAACAAACTTTTCAAGGCTGTTTATTGGAAGTAAATCTCTTAAAGATCCCAAGACCTTACACAATTGCACTGGTTTTTATGAGATTTATTGAAATTATATATAGTAAAGTAAAAAATTTGATCTTAACATCCAAACAATCCAAACGTTAATCGGAAAACAAGATTTTCTTTTTTTCGTTTGGCGCGTATATAAAAAAATAATATATACCTAATGTATCTTAACAATTTAGACGCAGAATTATTTATTTAAAAATTTACTTTATTTGTATTAATATGAAGAAATTATGTATTTTGACCAAATAGGTATACAATCATAAAACATTTAAGTTATTTGACTTGTTTTTAATTTAATTTTGATAAAATTATTTTCAAAAATGTTCTATTATTTTATTATTATTGGTATTATTTTTATTAAAAATATTCTGGCGCAGTTAAAAATAGTGTATTTCATAAACGCCATTTTGATCATAATTTTTAATTAGGCACAAGCAAAGGTTTGACGATCAAAAAATTAAGTGTTTTTTTTAATTTAAAATCAATTTTATTTGTCAAACATTTGACATCTGACATCTATCAGACAATTCTAACCTCACTTTTACCCAATCTGACATCTGTCAGACAGTTTTAACCTCATATATGTTTTTTTCTTTTATCTGTTAAATTTACTAAGTAATTGTAATAATGTTAATAATTTTCAGATTCATAAATTAAAAAACGCTTTTGAATGTAGGTAGGTATAAAAAATGTCGTTAAAGAAAGAACAAAATTTAAAATAAAAAAATAAATGAGTAAAAATCAAATCAGGTTTTCATTGTGACGATTTCTAAAAGATCATTTTGTTTTTTAAGTTATATTTTGAAATATCTTCTTTTACCTATGTAATCAAATTTAAATTTGCAAATTTTTTTTAGCATCACTAAATCATATTTTTATTTAACTTACTGTCTCTGCCTTTCGGAGTGACAACAGTAAAAGCACTATTTCCCGGCGGACTGTTCGGCCTGGAGTCGCTGACATTCACCGGACTTCTGGAGTTTTCCCGATTGGAACTGCTGTAATCTAGAGGCATCATCGGATGGCCCAGTTCCAATGCCATTTCAACAACAAATCTAGTCAGTGTCTCAATGCAAAAACATCACAATTCAACACGAAAAACAGTCACAGAAAAAACACCGACACTTGATTCGTTCGCGATATTTTTCAAATATTCTTTCACACATGCAGGCCAAGATGAACGCAGCAAGCAACTGTATGATAGTCAGGATTCTCGAGTGATAAGCTCGGGTTTTGGGCATGGCCACGCCCACTCCGCCGTTTTTCCCTTATGTCCCTTGTCAATAAGGACTAGGGCGGAGCTTGGGATATCAAACTCCACCCCTAAGGCAATTGAATCAATGAATGAAATAGTAAAGGGTTTAATGGGATTTAAATTTTTTACAAATATAGATTTAAGTAATTTTTATTATTAAGGCTATTATTTAATTCATTAGCATGCTTAATTAGTAAAAATATTTATTTGTATAATTTTAACTTCCTATGTAAGTAGGTAGGTAGGAAGCTAACTCTGACTCTTACAATAACTGATTTGGATATTTTTTATATTACATAAAAAATCTGGATTACAATAAAAAATCTGTAATAAAAATATCAATATCTTTGTGGCCAATTATCATTTCCGAAATCACTTGATTAAGTCTCCGATGTTAATAATTGTCGTATGGGACAAATAGTACACAGTATAAAGTGATATAGTGGGGACAGATGTTCACTTATTGGCTTCAATCTGAGACACGCCCACCAAAGAGAACCCGCGCAAATGTTTGAAGTCGTCCGAGTGCTCCTGCGATTTTCACGATTGCATCGCCTAATATGTAGCCTAGTTGCAGGAATTCAGGTGATTTGATTTTATATGCCAATCAATTAATACCAAATACCTATTGGACAATTCAGAAACTTTTTCCTTACATCGCAAAAATTATTGAAATATGGCCAGTAGGTTTATCTATATGTTATCTACACCAGAGACTTACCTAACCGCTTAAAAATTGTCTTAGTATCTACATAGGTACTTACTATTGAATTTCCTTTGGTTTATTAAATATTCGTATTTTTTAATAAGTAAGTAAGTACCTAGTTGCAGTAGGTAAAATGTCCAGGCCCGTGTGCCCAGGAGGTTTTGGGTGTTCAAAGTTGAACTTTAAACCCTCCTCAAGAAGGTTTAAACTACCACTCTTAATGTAAATTATTCTAAAAATTCATACTTCTAATGAAATTTTACTTGAAATACTGAAAACATTTTTCAGAAAAATAACCTATAAATATATTTTTTTATAAAATTATCCCCCAGGAGCAACTCCTGCGCACGGCCCTGGTCGAATATGGGCCATTCCACGCTTAACGGATAGGACAGTTGCCGTGTTTTTATTTACAAAATAATATTGTTCTATTATATTACCAATGTCAAATTTTTATAAATAGTTCTAAACAAAAGCTGTTTAACAAGGTTTTTATTTGGCAAAATTAGGTATCGTGATTGACTGTTTAATTCCTTAAAAATTAATAATTAAAAGCGTAACGGGCGGGACTATTACTATACCTAATTTTGCCAAATAAAAACCTTGTTAAACAGCTTTAGTTTAGAACTATTTATAAAAATTTGACATTGGTAATATAATAGAACAATATTATTTTGTCAATAAAAACACGGCAACTGTCCTATCCGTTACGCGTGGAATGGCCCATATTGAATTGTGTAAGACAATGATGATAATCTTTTGTAAGCCCACCTACTAACATTAAAAAAAATTCAAATTAAATTTCATTTTTATTATTTCAATAGTTTTAGACCATTTATTTAAATCAAAGAATAGATTTTTTTTTTAAATTTCAAAAATAAAAAGTTTTAATTTGTTTATAATGGGTAACAAAATTATGATAATTTAATGTTTTAGATATTTCACACAATTTGTCAGAAAATTCATCTGTCAACCATTTCAACCTCAGCTAAATAGTGATACTTATAAGATATATCTGCACGTGTTTACAGCCTCTTCCTCTTTCATTATCGGGATAAATGATTCTTTGGAAGAAGCTTTGGAGAGACAGGAAACATCTTCCCCAAACAGCAGCAGAGGCGCATCAAGAGACCGTTGAACATGACATGTACCGATATATATATCTGGCAGCCTAAAACCTGTCCTATTCATTAGAGAATTTGCAAAAAGTTATATATCGACAAGGTCGACCATAATATTGAATAAGATTGGTTTTAGCTTAAATTTGATAAAATTTGAATCATATCTGCTAAACACACAATATGAGGCTTACCTACAACAGATTTAGATCAAAAACATTTCAATATCAGGTGTTCCACAGGGGTCAAATCTTGGTTCCCTTCTGTTCATTCTTTTTATTGATGACATTATCAAGTCGCCATTTACTATTTGCATACGACTAAGTTTCTGATATACCTAGCACACCTTGTCTAGAGCCAAATAGTGCAATGAACCATTGCTCCTTTTTGGTTCGCAGAATTTTACAGTTTTATGTTTGGCTCGGCTAGATTGAACTGTAAACAATATCAAGTCCATCGTTTGTGAGACTTATTATTATTTATATTAAATAATTTTAGATCCATAAAATTGTCTTTCCAGTTGTCAAGAATCAAGTTATATTTATGCCAAACAGTTTTAAGTCACTTAAATATTAAGTCCAGCATCAAAGTCATAGTATAGTATATATACTACTATAGTACTCTCTAAAAATGACTAATTGTCATAGCGAAAAAGCATCCACTAATGATTTTCGTCAATAGGAATTTGTATCTCGAACATATACCTAGCAATTTAATTTACATGTAAAATTTTTCCCTGAATCCGGAAATATCGTCTAAAGTTATGAAAGTATAAGGGTTTTTGAGATATAGTCAATTTTCCATATAATATGGAATTGACTATATCCCAAAAACTGCTCTACTTTCATAATTTTTGACGGTATTTTCGGATTCATGGGGACAATTGTACAGAATAATTGGCTATTAAATGTTGGGGATACCACGGTTTGGATTGTTAAACATGGTATACGTGAAAAAGCAGCCACTAATAACTGTAGTAATTAGTCATTTTTGACTAATTCATTTTTAGAGAGTAGGAAGATATAACAATATCAACCGCATTATTTTACTTTTAAGATATAAAATTATACTTTCTTTATGTATGTTGCAAAATTAGGTATTAATAAAAGTGTGAAATAAGACAGTTTGGCTCTGGGGTACAGATACCTATGTAAATGTGTTTTCTGTTGATTTATAGTGCCAACGTAAAATCTGAAAATTACTCGAAAAATTCTAAAAAAGTATGACATTCATTGATTTTTATAATATTAACTTAACAGCAACTCCAGGTGTGTCTCAAGGCTCTAATCTGGGTTCAATTATGTTTTTGATACCGTCTAATTTAAATGTCCCTACTTTACTGTTTGCCGATTATCTAAAGGTGTTTTTGCAAATTAGCTAAATTCAGGATTGTGTAGGTACGTTTGGAAGAAACTTCAAATCAAATTAAACATTGGTGCAATTTAAATAGGTAAACTTTATCTTAACATCGCAAAATGTAAAATTTGTACATACGCTCTAAAATTTAGTCCCATTGAGTTTAATTATTCATATACCTATTCTGTTAAAAAAAATCGGGACATTTTGAATGAATTTATCTTAGTTACAAAATTGACATAAAGATACAATGCAAATAGTAAGTTTGACGTTGCTTAATTATTGTTGATTGTAAAATGTCCCGATTTTTTGACAGAATCTGGTAACCCTGGTAACCCTGTATATATACAGGGTTATATATAACAATAGTCTATAGCGTTATATTATTGTAAAAGATCTGAGCATCACATTTGTTCATAAATTTACATTTTCTAACCATATTTTAAACATAAATAATTCATCTTTAAAAATTTTGGATTTTTAAATCAGAACATAAAACATTAAATTTTACCGTTGAGTCAATGATTTTACTTTGGTTCGATCCAAACTCGAATAATTATTAAGGTGCACTATGGAAACCAAACTATAACATACATATAAATCTGACTGAAAGGACCCAACGAAGAATTTTAAAGTGTCACAATGTACCTAAATGGAGTTTATCCAGAAAGAGGTTTTGACAATAGAAAATTTTTGGTAATGTGTACCCTCAAAATTTTGTATTTGCAAAAACTAATGTTGGTGTATCATCGCCTGTTTTAGCTATGTGTTATATTTTTTATAAAATCTCAAATTATTGTGATCTAAATTATGTATACAATATACATATGTTAGGTTTTCATAACTTTTTTTATTATTATTTTTAGTTTATGTATAATTATGTAATTATGTATTTATTATTTGTCCTGTAATTAAAATTTTTGTGCTGGGCAATAAACATTATTATTATTAATATTATTTTTATTATTATTATTAAACCATGCAAAAATACAAATACTTACATACATAAATACGTACATATGTAAAATATGTTAGAATGTCTTAATTTATTTTAATGAAGACGGAATAAAAAAATATTTTTTTAAATAATGCATTTCTCTCAATAAAAAATAATAAAAATTTCCAGGAATGCGGTCTTTGATACATTTAAAAGCAGCAAATTATCAAAATCCTAACATAATTAAATAATTATTTAACTGATTATAAGCTCCTGAACGAAATTAAGTTGGTGTCATTATTTAACTTCGCGAAGTTGTATAGTAGGCTTTGTCACTTGTTTCTGGTTACACTTGACAGGGCCTACAAAATTGCGTAGACATTCGGGGCCGGGTGTACTCCCGAACAGCAGCTTCGCTTTTAACCCCTTTTGTAAACGACAAGTGTTATTCATGGCCCCTGGACACGGGAGGGTGCTATCAACACTCGATGCGCATTATCCTCGCTTAATAGGGTGTGTTCGTTCGTTTTAGCATTTTATATTATATTTATTCATTACTCCTTTTCTAACACTATTATTACTGCGCGTTAGCATTGTGTAAAACGCGTTAAGGCAAATAATAAGGGTAATTAGATGGGATGGTTTATTAAATATTACGATAATAACAAACATTTATATTTCATTAAAAGTAAATTAGAGCTTTGGCAGTAAAACAAACATTTGTTAACATAAAATATACTATTTTTTTTTATTAATTTAATATTATATACATATTACACAATCACATTACCGATTTTATTTGA